TTTTCACTTACGAGACTATTATAAGACAGTTTCTAGTTACGAGACTAAAATGATAAATGAGTTCAGTTGCGAAAAAAAAAAAAGTTTACTCTTAATAATATTAGGGTGTTGGATTAGACTAGTAATTCTGTAAATTGGTATTAGTATATCAGACCTGCGATTATCTCGAACCGAATACATTAAAATAAACATAATATTATATCGAATAAAATAATATTATCCGATTTAATTCTTCTAGTAACTAGTAAATGCAAAGCCGGCAGCTACAATACTGAATTTAAAATTTAGCACTGTGTTGAACAACAAATTGTGTGCTATTAGACAATACATAATATTACTACAAACAGCCCACTGTATATGTTAATATAATACGAATACAATACATGAACAAAACACACTTGCTATAGTTTCAACAACACACAATATTACTATAGACAGCTCACAGTATTATATGTTAATATAATACTAATACATCACATGCTATAGTTTCATACAACACACAACAGTTGATTTTATCACATGACATACTTGTATACAACATACTTGTTATTATTAAAAAACAGCACATATCTTTATTATACATAGTATGTGTCGTGTGTAATACTATTGTGTGTTATTTGTATATATGACAGTGTGCTGATATAAAGAATCAGCACCGTAACCATCCAGAAACACAAAATATATACTGTAATACTCCAATATACTATTGTTAACAATTACAATAGGGATAAGGAAGGGGTGGCAAATAAGTTTTAGTTGTTAGGTTGTTAATTATATTGTTGTCACTATAATTCAATGTCGCAACTCACAACTACCATTAAAGCAATGTTTAGCAAATTAAATATAATTGGTAGTTAAGAATCATCAATCACTAAATCAAACTGAAAACTTCCAATTACATGTGTAATGAAATTATAAATAGAAACTAGAAATGGGCTGGCACGACAAATTCTTGGTAACTAACGATGTGTGGAAAGTCATTTTATTTTATTTATTAGTGGAATTAAGGTGTAGCATGACGAACTAATTAATATTCGATTAAAAATTTGACCATATTAGTGCATATATCATAGTTTGTATAGTTAGTGGTGTACCTGTAATGTCCGACTGTTTTCAAGGGTAATAATTATTTATAATCATCTTACTTCAACTAATTGATTAATTATTATAGATAACGCGTATATGTATTTAATTATCTATTGGAAATTATGCATATTTCAAAGTTCACAGTGTATCTATATATATATATATGCCAATAATTTGGATTCAGCACATGAAATATATTATGTTACTTGAATTAATATAAAATATGTTGGGTAAATTATTAGCTAATATTATCTCTTTTTATTTTATACGCGTGGTATGTTAACATGCTTTGTATGCTGAGATTATTTGCAGTATGTACTGTGTGAACTATTTATCGGATATCATCAGTTTATATATTATATTAATAATGTATACTATATGCTGCCGTTTTATGCCTCATGTGAAATATTAACTGTAATCGGTTAGCATTGTAATTCTTATCATATTTTGGTGTATATATATATATATATATATGGAAGTTGTGGAAATTAGTGGTTCCATTTTGCAATAGACAATAATTAGTCAACCTTTTTTTATCCTTAAATCTTAATTATAATGTCATCGTTGAGGCACAAATTACCAGCTGATTTACAACCCACATTCACCCCAATTATTGGCGGCCACCACTATATAATATATATCTTATATATCCACTGTCTGCAGGCATAATTATTTTCAGCATTTACTATAATATATAGAGTACAGATACAGAGTAAGTTGCAAAAATATCCCACACTTATATTTTATTATCACTTTTGTCCTATATTTATTTTCCTGGCAAAATATATCCCACATATTTACAAAAGTCGTTATTTATATCATTTTCTCGCGCGTGAAATTCACACCACGCACCCTTACGCGCAATCACGCGCGGCCACGTGCGGTCAAATGATAGAAATAGCGACTTTTGAAAACATGTGGGATATATTTTGCCAGAGAGATAAATACAGGACAAAAGTGATAATGAGGTATACGTGTGGGATATTTTTTGCAATTTTTCCTACAGATATGTAAGTTAATTCAGAATAAACGGAAAATTTTTTATTTTTATATTTTGTAAACGAAGAATAAAAATTACACTGCCAAAATGTGCATTGATTGTTAAGAATAAAAATAGCATAATTACCACTTCTCAACCATTTCTATCTCTCTATATCCAAATTTGATTTACATGCCTCTAATTACTTCTCTCTCTACTTTTTTTTTAATTATTATAGAATAATACTATATTAATTTGAATATCCATAAAAAATAATTCATACGTCACATGCATACTTGGTTGTTGCACTTCAGAATAAATCCAGTATTATCAAATTTGTGAATGTCTCCGTTTATTTAGATACATAGTTTTAGAATTTTCAGAAAAAGTTAAAAATTATAAAAGTTTATATATTTAAAGTGATACTTCCTTCGTCCCACATAATTTGTCAGTTTCTTTTCTTAAAAATATAATTATACACTTTATTCACATTTTAAAATTCATAATTTATAATTCTTTTTAATTTTAATTACTATTTAGTCATCTTAATCTTAATTTATAATTATTTTTATTAAATCATAATTATTATTACTAATTCACTTCTTAATTACTTACGAATTATCCAATAACTAAAACTTTGTGCCTAAATTAAATTGGACAATCTAAGTGGGACAGAGGGAGTATTTTATAAGACCATTTCCAACCCAAGAACTCTGTTTATTCAGTTTAACTCCAAAAATGCAATTGTACAGTATTTTTACTGCAACTCAGGCCATCTCCAACCGGTGGCTCTATTTTTGCAGTTGCTACAATACAAATACAGTTGATCTACCGTACTTTTACTCCAACCATAAACTTCAATTTTTACTCCAAAAAATATATTTCATATATATTCTTCTTTTATATTATTTTATGTAACTTTTTCATATTTATAAATTACACCTCAACTTTAATTATTTTTACATTATAATCCATACACATATAATATATATTTTATTTAAAAATTACATATATTAAAATTAATATTTATAATTAATAACTATTACAAATAAAATAATTTTAAATAAATAATTAAATGCTATCAACACAACTAACTATTTAAAATAAAAAATTATACATAAATTTTTATAAAATAAAAGTTCACGTAACTTAAAAAAAATAAAATTATATCACTTTTTGAAAAGTAAAATCATATATTAATTTTAAAAATAAAATTATACATTATTTTTTCAAAAAATAAAATTATACATCACTTTTCAAAAAATAAAATTATACATGACCTTTTAATATATAAAATTATATATCATGTTCTAAAAAATAAAATTACACAATACATCCCAAAAATAACAAAAAGATAAAAAATACCACAAAATATCATAAAATTTTCCGCTCCAAAAATGAAGTAGTGGTACAGTGTTACTAAAAAAAATGGAGCAACATTGTACATTACTCTCCTTCTATTAAAGTTATAAAACACTAATGAAAGTATTTTTGTAATTTTTTCTTAATTTATACTACGTTTTGATATAATAATTAATATTCAAATCACTACCAGAAAATTAGGTTATAGTTGCGGTAACAAAAGTCACGGTTTTAATACAAATTGGTGACTTTTTACTAACAAGTTATAGAAAAATATATGGAACCATTTTCGTGGAATTTTGTTGGTGACTTTTTTTAAATGGTGACATTTCTGTGACAATAAGTTATAAAATAATACCATGACATGTCTGTGACTTTATATAGCAACAGAAGCTGCAACAAAATTTCATGAATATTTTATAATTGTGACATTTTCGTGACAATAAGTTACAAAATAATATCATTACACCTCTGTACTTTATATTAACGAAAGCTGTAACAATTCCGTAATTTTATATTTTTGAAAAAAAGATGTAATTATATTATAATTTTTGTTCAATGCAACCACACACAATTATTTTTTTCGGAATTACTTCGTACCACACTATTTTTCAACAAATGACCTTATATTTATTTACACGACCTGTCATGCTAACTTAGCTATCTACTCTAAAGTATTACTTTTTGTTTGTTATTATATTTTAACTATATAAATATTATTGATTATAAATTTATCTTTTGAAAATATATACATATTTATTTAATATATCATCATGAATTTTTTAAAAGAAATTGAATAGCTACGAACGATATTGAATAAAGATATTAAAGATGATTTTATTATTTTATTATTACTTTGAATAGCTACAAATAATAATAAGAAAAATTTATAATTGTTTTCGTTATTTATGTTGTGACATTTGATTTTAAAGTCACGAAAATTATACTATGACAATATTTGTAATAATTTAAAATATTGGAAATATTTTGGTTATTTTTGCCGCAACTTAAAATAGTCAAAAAAAAAAAAATTGTGACAATTTTTGTGACGAAATAGTCAAAAGATACGGAATAAAAATATGTTAGACATTTTCTTTATATAAGCCGTTACTTTAAATAGCCACGGAAAGCAAAAAGTTGTGACATAAATTTGTCACAAAATTACTTTCTGCGACTTTTAATTGTCACGGATTAAAATTTGCGACAAATTTCCGCAATTATCAACTTTTTTTTCTAGTAGTGAATATCAACATAAAAAATATAAATGAGCCGGACAGATATACCATTTCTTATGTTTACAAAAAAATATTCTCATATATATATATATATATATATTTAGACGAAGAGAGTATCGACTTTTACAAATTTATATATAAAAGAGCCTAAAAATAATTATTTTATTATCTTTTTTTTGGATGCAATATATATATATATATATATAAAGTCAACCCTAAAACTAAGATTTAATATAATCATTATGACAACTATTGGACAACAAATTGAGGCTGTTAAAAGAAAAAACGTATATATATATATATATATATATATGATCTTGAAGATGACACAACAGAAGAACATAAATACACAGATTGAGCTTCAATTCGATCTGTGAATATAAGATCGAATTGATTGATCAATTCATTAGCTAGGCAATATAATGGCTTTCACAAAGCCTGCTGCTCTTACAGCAACAATTGTTGCTTTGCTTTGCATCTTCTGCTCATGCATTAATGCTCAGAAATTGAGCCTTGATTTCTACAAGAAGACATGCCCCAAAGCTGAGGCCATCGTCAAACACGAAACCGCCCGTATTATCGCCGTCGCTCCGACTCTCGCCGCCGCGCTGCTCAGGCTTCACTTCCACGACTGTTTTGTTAGGGTATTGTATACACACACGTATTGATAATTAGACATTACATTTATATTATTACATGCATGCATGCATTTAATGGTTTCTCAGGGGTGTGATGGTTCAGTGCTGCTGAATTCAACAAGAAACAATTCAGCTGAGAAGGACTCAATCCCCAACCAATCCTTGAGGGGGTTCGGATCCATCGATAGAGTCAAAACCGCCCTCGAAAAGGAGTGCCCCGGCGTTGTTTCTTGCGCCGATATATTAGCATTGGTTGCCCGCGACTCCGTTCAACTAGTATATATCCTACCCCTGCAATAATATATATATATATAATAGATTAATATGAATTAATATTCTTCGACTCATGTTGAACTGAACTAATAATTGATTATATATCTCCGATCGACTCCGGTTGGTTTATTTCAGTTGTACGGACCATCCTATCCGGTGCCATTGGGGCGGAGAGACGGAAGAGTGTCGCGTAACAACGAGGCCTTGGCGAATCTTCCGCCTCCATTCTTCAATATCACTCAGCTTAAGGCATCATTTGCCTCCAAGGGATTAACCCCCAAGGACCTAGTGGTTCTCTCAGGTACCTACAATACGTACATTTTTTCAAACTCTAATTTTCTATTTTTTCTAATAAAATACACTTTTCATAAAATATTATTCAAACTCAGTCGAGGCTATAAAGAAAGCACGCTTGATTATAAAATCGAAATCATGATTATATAACCTTTGTCCCACTTCTTTTTCTAGTTTTACTATTAGCACAACTTTTTTAAATGATATGATCATCATAGTGTTTTTTTCACCATTCTAGTCTTATTTTTATAGAAATTTTCTTATAAATGATACTCCTATTTAGAAGGATAAAGGAGAAACCGATAAAAGAGATGGTAATAACTTAATTTTATGTCGATTAAATTTTGATGTGGAATGATCATTTAGAAGTATATATATATATATATATAGGAAGTCATACCATAGGAACATCTCACTGCTCCAGCTTCTCGAACCGACTCTACAACTTCAGCGGGCGGGGCGACAGCGACCCGGCACTGGACTCCAACTATGCGGCTCGTCTCAGGAGCAGGTGCCGGCCTAACGACCAGACAACCTTGGTGGAGATGGATCCCGGTAGCTTCAAAACATTCGATGAAAATTACTACACGCTAGTTGCCAAAAGAAGAGGCTTGTTCACGTCGGATTCGGCACTTCTGAGCGACAGCGAGACGAGGGCTTACGTGTTGAGACATGCCGGCGAGCAGGACTTGGGTGGATTCATCAAGGACTTCGGGAAGTCGATGGTGAAAATGGGACAGATTGGAATCCTGACAGGGAAGCAGGGCGAAATCAGGAAACGATGTGCATTCGTTAATTGATCATGCAATGCAAGCCAAGGGGGATTAAGCTAAGCTTTCTTAATGTCATTATTTATTTTGACTACTGATATTATATGATTCACTACTGCTTGGTTTCTTTTTTGTGCTTTTCTATATATATATATATATGCATTGCCTGTAAGAATGCATGCGTGATGAACAAGTTTTTATTATTTTATGCATCCATCCATCGATTTGGTTAACTTTGATATATCGATGCGCAATAATTTTCATATTTTTGTGTTGATATCGAAATATAACACTAATTATATGAAAGGGATTTCTTTTTTCTCGTGATCAAATGTTTTCTGTTTAAATATTATTCATGAATCGATTCAATTTTATAGAAAAATATATAAGGATATTATTTGATCAATTCTATCAAAATAAAATTTTGAATTGAAATAAATTTTTAATATTTTATATATAGTATGAAAAATAAAGTTTGATGTAATGCATATTTATCTTTAAAGAAAATGATGTAATGCTATTTAGCAAATGAAAATGTGATAATAAAATACGTACAGCTCTATTTATATAAAGATTTTTAACCAATATTTATTATTCATATAAAAAAAAATTAAAATAGTGTTAGATTTAATATTTATTTTTTCTAATTTTTTAGCTTATACTTAAAAATAATTTTACATTTAAAATATTATATTGATATTTATTTATATCATATAAAAAAACTATTCTAATGTAAAATTTATTATTCAAAATTCAATGAAAGTCGAGTTTGTTTGTTTTGTGAAATAATTTGAAAAAATACTTTCTTTTTTTTTTTATATGAGATATAGAATTATATAGATAATATAAATAGTAATTAATTAGTGTGTAATACATTATTTGTTTTTCAAAAAATGTGTTGATTTGTATTCACAAAACAAACCAACCCTAAATCTCACAAACAAACCGAATTAGTTGTCACAAATACAATACTTCCTCCGTCTGGTAGAAAGGTTACCATTCACTTTTTCACGTAAATTTTTTAATAATATTAGTATATTGAATTGTAGTATAAAAGATAAAAATACTCTTATTAGTATGGTGTAATATACAAGTAATGATATTTGTGTAATATAGTGTAAGTTGGAAGGGTATTTATTATGTTAGGTAGATAGTAGAATTACTAAATTTTGAGACGGACAAAAATAAAAAATAACAACCTTTCAATGGGATAAAGGGACTATTAAGAATTTAGAAATAGTACTTTATCTTTGTTTATATAATATTTTTTTTTTTTTTACTTTATTCAACAATAATAATTTGTTTTAAAAAAAATATTACATCAAATAGTAAAAATTTATTATTAAAAATTCAATGAAAGTCTAAGAGTTTATTTATTTTGTGAAATGATTTGAAGAGATAATTATTTTTATTTGAAATATGAATTATATAGATAATATAAATAATAATAATAAATGTACGTAATATATTAAATTTTTTAAAAAAATATATTGGTTTGTATTCACAAAACAAACAAACCCTAAATCTCAAAAACAAAAACCGAGCTAGTTTTGTCAAAAATATAATAGTAATAATTTAGAAATAATACTTTGGCTTTGTTTATATAGATATTTTGAATTTATTTCTTTTTTACTTTATCCATCAAAAATAATTTATTCAAAAAAAATATATATATTACATCAAATATTAAATTTTTATTCGTCAAATCTGATAAGCATGCATTTCAATGGTATAATCAAATAAACAAAGGCCACTACTTACCTCGAATGTTTGTTTAATCGATGGAGAACAATTATGTTGTACAATAATGATGCTAAGAAAACATATTCAGAATATTGCCTATGCCGCAAGTTGACCCACAAAAAATATCTATAATTTAATTTAATTAGATTGAAAAAGAAAGATAGGAAAACAATAGGAATCTTCATAAAATTGGAATTAATTAAAACATTACATTGGAATATGGCTATAGTGTAGAAAAAATTAATTTGTTTAATTTAAACGATTTATTAAATTTTATTAAGTTAATTAGTTATATTAAATAGTTTATTTTTTTATTTTTAATAATTATATAATAATACTCCCTCGTCCGATAATTTGAAACATTTGGTCTGACATGGATATTAAAAACTAAATAAATAAATATATTATTAAAAAGATGTTAAAATTAAATAAATAAATATATTATTATTAAAAAAATGATAAAATTAAAAAAGATAATTAATAATATTTTTAAAAATTTAAATAGAAATTAAAGAAAAAAAAAGAGAGAGAGATAGTGTAATAAAATAATGAGATTTATCGTAATAAATATTAAATTGAGAATAATAGTTAAATATTAATTTGTTAATTTTGTCAAAATTAATAATATGATAAATTTAATAATGGAATAAAAAAAATTAAAAATAAATTTGACTAACAAAAAGTATAAATTAAATAAAATATAATTATATAAAAATTCATTGTATAACAAAAACATAATTTGTAAAGTTAAAAAATATAAATATACAAAAACAAAACGTTCAGCCAACCTATTTTGGTAGCACGATTTCCATATATATTATATTATATAAATATTAATACAATATATATTATATATTCTATTCATCCACAAAAAAAAATTAAGACAAATTAAATTTAAAATATTATTTTTATATTAGTGATACAAGAATATTTTAGATTACTGATATAATTCTCAATACTTAACATAAAAAATACAAAATAAGCACAACTTTTTATTTCACTAAATATTAATAACTAGTACTCCCTCCGCCCTGAATATTGTATCTCGTTTACTGTAAATACGAGAATTTAGGAGGTATATAATTAGTAAATAATTAAGAATATATTAATAAAAATAATTATCGTCTAATAAAAATAATTTTAGATTAAAATTAAGATAACCAATTAGTCTAATTAAAATTTAAAAAATTATAAATTAAAAATTTTAATATGTGGTTAAAGTGTATAATTCTTTTCTAAAAAAAATGATAGAATAAATGGGACATATGAAAATAAAAACGTGAACACCGTAAATGAAACAGATGGAGTATTATTTATTATCATTATTATTATCAATAATTATTTTTTTATAATAGTGATTTAACTATAAATATATTAGGAGTATCTATAATATATGGCGGCGACTACAGTGCTAAATGCATTGTGCTGAGTAGCACACCGTATGCTACAGGACAATACACAATGTTACCATAAACAATACAGAGTATACTTTAATATAGTATATAATCTAATACAACACATAGAATACTTAATTTTTAACATATGAAATATTCTCATACAACACACGCTGTAATTATGAACTAACAATACATGTTTTTATTACAAACAACATATGTTGTATTTAATAAAGACCTATGTTATTTTTATATTTTACGTATGCTGATTTAAAGAATCATAGTGCTAATTTTTCAAATTCAGAACCGTAACTTTCTCCATAATATATATATATATTTAGGCTTCAAACCCTTTTGCCGCGCAATGAACTTTGATTTTTTTTTTTAATTTATTAAATGTGCTGAATTTCACATTTAATGAAGGCAAATAATGATATATTAATATTAAAATAAGGTAAGTAAAAGTTAAAATGACGATATTATCATAGATTTATTAAAATAATTTATAAAATATAGTAGAATAAGTAAAAATATAATGACAATTTGATCATTATTGATTAAAGTATAGTAATAAATTTATAAGGCAAAACAGCAAAAACCCCCTTTGGTTTACCGAATCTGCTAAAAATCCCCCGTAGTCCTAAAGCTCCAAAAAAATTTACTCGTGGTTTGTAAAATGTTGCACACTCGCCCCCCCTCCCCCCACTTTTAAATCACACTGACGGCGTTAAATTTTACCATAATCAGACCGTTATGCCCTTGTGGTTCTCTCTCTTCTGATCTTTCTTCATCTCTTCTTCTCTTCTCCACAACCTCTTTCTTCAATTTCTTTTCTTCCCCAAATTATTTTTTACACATCTTCTTCCTTAATTTTTCTCTTTTTCTTCATTTCTCTAGTCTTCTTCTGTTTTTCTTCTTCGCATCATTCTTCTTCTCTTCTCCTCAACTTCTTTCTTCCATCTTCTTTTCTTCCCCAAATTCTTCTTCACACATCTTTTTTTTCAATTTTTTTTTCTTGTTCTTCATCTCCAATTCTTCTTTGAAGAATGAAGAATTGGAAAAGAATAAAAATAGAAAAAAGATGATGGGTAGAAGCGGCTGGAGTAGGGAAGAAGGAAGGAAGAAAAGAAAGAGAAGAAAGAAGATAAGGAGAAGAAGAAGAAGAGGAAGAAGGGTTGGATACCAATTTTTTTTTCTCCAGTTTTTTTTCTTTTTCTATTTCTTTTTCCCCAATTTTCTTTCTTCTTTATTTTTTCTCAGGTTTTTCTTTCTTCTTTCTCTATCTCTTTTTCCCCAATTTTCTTTTTTTTTTTTAATTTTTTATTCCTAATTCCTCCGTACGCCGTTTCTTTCTTTCTTTCTTTCTTCTTAGATTGATTTCAAATCTTGATGTCAAATTGATTTCTTAAATTTTTGGATTTGCTATTTCTGGGTTTTGTAAAACACAAGAAGAAATATTTCTGGGTTTGGTAAAATAGAAAGAAGATCCATGTCCAGTCGATTAATTGTGATAAATTTGGGATCGGTGTCGAGTTTGGTTGTATTTAACGGATTTTAAATAAAAAAAATGAATTGAGAGTAAATTCTGAAAGTATGGATAACAATAAGAAAGAAGAAGAATAAGGAAGAAGAATAAGGAAGAAGAAGAACGAGGGAGAAGAAGAATAAAGAAAAGAAGTCATTAGGGTATTTCAGTAATTTTACACATAAATATATCACTTTATGGACAAAAAATCGCATTTCAGGCGCGTGGTATACAACCTCCGTTAGGATCTAACGGAGGGGGGAATTTTTGCAACGTTTTACAAACCACCAGTAGGTTTTTTGGAGTTTTAAGACTACGGGGTGTTTTTAGCAGATTGGGTAAACCACATGGGTTTTTTTGTTGTTTTGCCAATTTATAATAGGATAAAGTTGTTTACTGTAAATGAATTATATATAAGTTTAGAGTAAAAATTAATTTTGGTCTCAATCAAACTTTTTTCTTTTTTTTGGTCTCATTAAAAAGAATTATAAAAATTAATCCCATACAAAAAATAAATTATTATTTTTAGTCTTACCGTTAAAATTTTAGCGAAATAAGCTGACGTGGCTATAACGGAAT